TAAATGAATTTCACGTTTAGACTTGGCCTCCATCCCCAGGATATCTCATCATGTATATGCAAATATTCTAAAATCAGAAAAAAAAATTTAAAACACTTTTGGCCCCAGCCATTTTGGATAAAGACTACTCAGCCTATACAAAATTTGCATATTTCAACTTTTCCACAGTAGAGAACACTGTTAATATCACTGTAGCAGTTATCTGAGATCCCTACATTGTGGCAGTTATTTGAGATTCCTATGGTTCAGAGACCCTAAAACATGGAGCTTAAGTAACAGTGGTTCTGGGGTGGCAAGGGATGAATTCCATGTAGTCACCTCCCTACAGTGAGCAGATAGAAATGACTCTATGCTGAGCCCAGACTGCACCCTTCTCCTCCCTAGCTTGCACTCAAGGGTACCACTTCCCCTTGGGAGAAAATGAAATCTTTCTACCACCCTGCCATGCTGCTACCTAAAAACCATCATAGAAGATGGGCTTTCTTGGTACAACATTTACTTTAAAAGGGTTTTTTTGAGGCTATTTCTCTTTAAAACTGGTCTCTTCCCATCTGATACCAACCCCCTCCCAAAAGAAAACATTTTCATAGAGGAAGCAATGTAAACTTTATACCTGTATGAAAGTTACACCTGGTAGCCTGCTTTCCCACCATGACAAAGATGCAAATTCATTCTCTGAGAGGCTCAGGGTTTTTCCCCATTAACTAAAATAAGCTAAGTCTCTGGTCAACCTTATTTGATACCACACACTAACATTCATCAGTACAGAGTTTTTAAACATGAGGTATAATAGCACTAAAGAAGCAGCTGAGTTTCTCATTAGTTGTGACATCTACAGAGAATATAGGACAGAGTTGAAGAACCACACACAGACGCTGGGAAATAACACCAACAAGCAGGGCTACAAAATCACTGTGGGGATTGCAATGTGGCCACAGATCACCTTCAAATCAGTAGATGTCTCCCTGACACAAGAAAGCAATCTTAACTGTTGACAGTGAATCACACACAAGAACCTTAGATGCTCTTGATATTTCATCGGAGGTGGGCTACAAGGGAATGCTGGCCATTTTCCAGGCACAGGGATACATGGCATGAACCATCAAAGTCCAATCCCACCTCTGTGGGCCTCAGCATTTATCAGAAAGCACCACACTCACACTCATAGGGACACTTAAAGAATGGCTTATGAGTATAAGGATTTCTGGCAAAATCAAGGCTTTCAATGAAGCTAGACAGGGGAAGGATGGACATTTTCCTAAGTAACAGGGAGCTATGTGAAGACTCTAAAAGCATTTGTTGAGGGCACTAAATTATATTATTAGCAAAGCCAATTAGGACCTGAGGGCTAAGGATTAAGAAAAAAGAAAAGAACCACACTATGGGTAAATCTGGTGGGATTAAGACCAAGCCAAGGGGCTACAGGTGGTGAAGGGCCAAAGGTCCTGGCAGAGAGTTGGGAGGAAGTGCTGGTCTGGACTGCATTATCTGGCCTAGACCTCGTTCTGATCCAGATGGTCACAGTCAGTCTGATGCTAAAGAAATGTTATTCTTTAGATTTCATGTGAGAGTACAATAGTGGATTTCATGTGAAAGTTGCAACATCAAAAGTTTTATCTGTAAGACTGTGTACTGAAATATTTATATGCAGGGCAAGGTGGGAGGCAGAGGAGACAAACATGGTTGACTAACAGGTGACAACTATTGAAGCTAGGATTTTCTTCTAGTTTTGTGTATGTTTAAATATTTCCATTTAAAACTTGTTTTAAGTTAATCTTATACTATCAATGAGTTCTAAAAAAGCAAAGAGTTGTTTTCAAATGGCATCCTTGATTACTCACCTCATCTGGCCTCTGCCCAGTTACATATTACCCCCAAATGTAGGAAGGAACAAAGGGAGGGAGGCAGGGCACTCACAGCCGGCTCTTCATTCAGAGTCTGCAGCATCCAGTTTTCCAGTGCCTGGAAGTCCCGCGGACCTTGGTACTTCACTGGTTCTTGGCCGGGCTTAAAAAACTTTAGGCTGAAAGAATAAGAGCAGATTAGGAAGAGCAGAAGTTTAAAGCACTTTGAACTGTTCTGAGTTGAGAGCATGTTGTTGTCAGGGAGCAAACTCATTTAGTGAACCAAGCAGAAAATGAGCTGCCCACAAGTCACAGCCAGGCACCTCTCTTATAAAACTTGAAAGGTAAACAAAAACAATGTTCCAAGAAATAACACAGTCATGTAATCCTCAACTTTCCTCAAATAAAACAAAACTAAGGTGAAATCTTCCCAGCCCCAGGCTGTGCTTGGTGAGTACTCTCAAGCCTTTCTCTCTTAGGTATGCATCGTCTTTTCCCGGTGAGGAACTGTTATTCATTGGACAGCATGTGAGAGTTCACCTTCTTCTGTTGTTGTGTGTAAGTAGGTCTAATCAGCATGGAGAAGACAGCACTGTTCTGCAATAATGTATTAGGCTACTTTTGCAGATATCAGACTCTTGCAGAGCTCGGATGTTGAGTTACTGTCAGAATTCAAGTCTCCAACCATTAGGACACTCTGGACACTGGTTGATATAGGCTACTCACTCACTTTCTGATAAAGCAGGTATCTTTTCCCTTTCTATACATGTTAGCCTCTGCAGAGCGGATGTGAGAGCAGTTTCTTTAATGGCAAGCGAAAGGTATTACCAGAACATGGCATTAGCACTTCCTGGTCCTGGATCGCCCAGAACTTCACAGATAACAAGGATGAGGGGAAAGTGGGTACTGTCAGAAGAAATAGGAAATCTAAGATACCCTTCACACTTGCAGACATGGATATGGATTTTGTAGTCAGTGCACAATGTACAGAATCAGATTTGGAAATCAATGCAGAAATGAGATCCATAGGTGTGGAACAGTGTCATAAGTAGTTCGGACTAGAACAGAACACCACAGACTGTGAGACTTATAAACAACATAAATGTATTTCTCACAGTTCTGGAGGTCAAAAGTCCAAGTTCAAGATGCTGATGGATTCAGCATCTGCGAGAACTTTCTGGGTTGTTGATAGCACCTTCTCCCTTTGTCCTCACATAGCAGGAAAGGCAAGACAGTTCTTTGGGACCTTTTTAATAAGGGTACTACTCTCATGCATGAAAGCTCTGCCTAATAAATGACCTCATTACCTCCCAAAAGCCCGTACTAATACCACCATATTGGGAGTTAGGATTTCAACATATGAATTTTTAAGGACACATTTAAAGAAAAATAAAAAATAGCTAACTCCTCCTTAAAATGAAAGCCTTAAAATGAAGCCTCACAAGAAAAGCAGCACATTAGCTAGATTTAGGCATTTGGACACACTGGCCTACTAGAGAGCCTAAGCTCATGTGATGGGGCTCAGGTAAGGTCCTTAATGTCCCTCCAATGAACTCAGCTTCCTCAGTAGCTCACACAATGCTCAACTTACACTGGGTTCTGTCCTAAGAAACCACCACAAGCCAAAAACACCGTAAGTTGAGAGTGCATTCAATAACCTCACTTACCAAACATCACAGCTTTAGCCTAGCCTGCCTTAAACACACTCAGAACACTTCCATTACCTTACAGTTTGGCAAAAATCACCTAACACAAAGGTGATCTTATCTCATGTTTTAAACAGTCAGTAGCTTACTGAATGTACACAGTACTGAAAGTGGTATTCATCTATTCAAAATCATCACACAGGATGCTCCCCATCATAAAGCTGGAAAATCCCAAGTCATTAAATCAGGGACCTCTGCACTTCAACAACCACAAGGAAAAGCAGAAATCTAACTGTGTTGGCCAATACACATGCCTCCAATGAAGATCACCTGAAATCCAACCTTATAAGCAACCCAAAGTATGTTGTAACAATTATGTTGGCCTTCACCCACCACTGAGCCACCAGCAGCTCTGGCAAGGTGAGTTAAGGCCATACAGACAGGGATGCTGCTTACTGTCCTTCTCCACCTTCCTTCTCCCTGTTCTGAGTGCTTATCACCACCAAAGAGCTTCAGGGTGGGAAAAAGGTGGTCAAAAAGTACCAGGGATTATCAGATTCATTTCTCATTTCTTTACTAAAGTTAAAATATAGTCAGATCTAGCATATGATTTTTCTAATGTGGTACATATTGAGCAAAATTAAATGAATTAAATAAACAATTTTTTAAAAAGGCTCTTCTTGTATTGAAAATATGTCTTGGGCTGGCAGAGTGGCTCAAGTGGTAGAGTGCCTGCCTAGCAAGTGTGAGGCCCCGAGTTCAAACCCCAGTACTGCCAAAAAAGAAAAAAGAAAAAGAAAATCTTTCTGACCTGATCAAACCTGAGATTTTTTTTCCTTAGTAAGTGCAAAGAGCCCTGGGGGAGAATCTGAGCCTCCATTGCAAAACCTCCACATGGTCTGGGGCATCTAAATTCAATCCTCACCACAGATGGATGTGATGGAGACTGAGTGCAGGGTTATAAGCCCAAGTATGGTCCAAAATTTTACTATTACCAAAACTCCACATGCATTTATGCCTCCTTCAAAGAGACTGTAGGGGAGAACACCCTAGAAAACTGTGATAAAATTCTACTACTATAGACAGTACTGGGAATTGAACTGTGTCCTCCAAAACAGAGCTGTTGCTATTCTAACCTCCAACCTCAGAATGTGACCTTATTTAGAAACAGGATCTTTTCAGAAGTGACTGAATTAAAATGAGGCCATTTCAGCAGGACCTAATTCAATATGGCTATGTCCTTATAAGAAGGAGTAATCAGGATAGAGACATGTACACAGGAGAAGGCCATGTGAAGATGGAGGGATGGAGCGATGCAACATACAAGCCAAGGGATGCAAAAGATTGCTAGATACTATAGTGTGGACCTGGAATGCCCCCCAAAAGCCCATGTGCTAATGGCATGTTCTCCAGTATGGTGCTATTGGGAGTTGGTAGAAATTTTAAGAGACAGGGCCTACGAGCAGTCTTAGGTTATTGGGAATGTGCCCATGGAAGCAACTGTGGGACCCTGGCCTCTTCCCATTTCTTTACTTTCTGACTGCCATGAGGTAAGCAATTTGCTCTATCACACTCTTGCCATGATATGCTGTCTTACCATAGGCCTAAAAGCAACACAGCCAACTAACCATGGACCGAAACCTCCAAAAGTAAATCTTACCTCTTTTTAAGTTTATTATCTCAGGTATTTTGTGACAGTAACAGAAAGCTAACACACCAACAAGCTAAGAAGAGGCAAAAAGGGAGTCCCCTACAGGATTCAGAGGGAATGTGTCAACAACCTGATTTGGGTATTCCAACCTCCAGAACTGTGTGACAATACATTTCTGTTGTTCTAGTCACCCAGCTATGTGGTTCTTTCATATAGCAGTCATGGGAGACTACTACAGATGATATCCCTTCTTTAGTACATCCCTGCTCAGAGAGTCCCACACAAATGATTCTTTCCAGACTCAACGAGAGGCCCTCGAAACATTTTCTTGAGTATAGGGGCTATGAGCGCCCAAACTCTCTCCCTTTCCAATCTTTTACCCTAGTTAAAAGTGCCAAAAGAAGAATATCACAAAAGCTCACATACTGACACACAGCTTGAGTTCAGGCATTTACATTCAACACCTGATCCAGTCTTCCCACAACTCTATGAGATGGGTACCATTTTATTTATTTATTTTTATTTTTGGGGGCAGTACTGAGGCTTGAACACTGGGTTTTGTGCTTACTAGGCAGGTACTCTTACTACTTGAGCCACACAACCAATCCAAGATAGGTACTGTTTTAAAGGAAAAAAAGTTCACACAGGTAAATGTATGAACACCTCAATGCAATTACATGCAGTACATAACACTCTGCCTCCTGCATTATGTTCAAAAAACAACAAAAGAAACTGTTCTTAGGCATATCTGCAGGTCTCTGATGGTCACAGGGATTCCTGGCTCCAGACCACATATGCTGTAGTGAAGCTCATTTTCATTCTTTTAACAACACAAAACCAGTGCCAGGACACATGATCCAACATGGGTTTTTTTAAGAGTGTGAATGTCATCTATGGAGTGACTGATTGGTGCAGATAGCAACCAATGATCACGTCTACTTGTCCACTCCCTCTCTGAAGCCCCATGATACATACCCTTCTTAGTCAGCCCCATTATGGCTCCAGTTTCACCTCCCTGTGGCATGTTTCACGCAGTCAGAAGTACAAAAGTGGACAGAGGCCACAGCCAATCCATCTCTGCTGCTCCTGCCTCTTGGAAGTAACGGGCCCTTGCCAGCTTAGCATTTGCCTCCTCTCCCTCCTCCAACTACTCCTAGCAGCTCCTCTAAGATACTGCTGATCTAAGCAGTCACTTTAAAGGCAGTGTATGAAGCCCAGGGCAGTGAGTGCCTCTAGCTAGGTACACAGAGTATGACAGTTTCTACTGATCTGATTTGATGTTAGCTGGGGTTCTTGCACTTAGACTAGCAAGCAGCCACCAAAGACTGAGAATTTCAGAGTCCATTATGGAAATGTCTCATATGTTCCTAAACATATGAGACAATCTAATAGTGACTGGTGTACTCAGATCAGTGTTCGCACACGTTACTGACTCCCATGTTGACAGGAGGGTGAGATGGGTGACATCCTCACCTTACTCAGACTCAGGGTTTAAAGGACATGGCCAGAGCTGCGTGGTTTTTAAGTGGGAGAGGTGGGATTCCACAGTGGCCTCCACCTTCAATCCCACTTTTCCATGCTCTCTCATCATGAAGCTGAGCTCTGATTTTATATTTAATCATTGGCCCGTATATTATTCAGTTAAGTAATGAACTACACAGAACTGACTTTTCTCAGCTGTGACAAGCATTTAGGGAGCTGCTGTGGCCAACTCTTCCCCTCCTATGAAAACAGCATCTTCCCTCTTTTGTGCACTGCTTTTTTCCCCAACATTTGCCACAGGGTCTGAATGGGGACACTGTTTTCTATGACATCCTGCCTCCCCCAACAATGCAAGGAACTTTCCACCAAGCAGAGCTCATCAGTCATGAGCAACAGTCTTTCCACGAGAACAGAGACTGAACTTGAGAAGCTGTTTAATCACCACAAGGCAAGTGCAGTAGAAAGCCTTTGAGTGCCTAGGGCTGAGTCTTAGGGCTTCCCCCACACCCTTTTAATCCATCCTCTGTCATGATTTGAATGTCCCTACCCAAACTCATCATAAAATTTAATGCTCATTGGAAGGTATTTTTGTTGTACTTGTTGTGTTTTGGTTTTTGGAGATATTGGGGCCTTCCAATTGCAAGATAAGTGCTCTACCACTTGAGCCATACCCTAACTCCCCCCCCCCCACCAATTATGAGGTATTGTGAGGTGGGACCAGCTAGGACCTTTAAGAGGGAATGTAGTGGCTCACATCCTAGCTACTTTGGAGGCTAAGATCAGGAGGATCACGGTTTGAGGCCAGTCAGGACAAAAAGTTTGCAAGACCCTATCTTAACAGAAAAAAAGCTGAGCGTGGTGGTGCATGCCTATCATTCCAGCTATGGTGGGAAACAAAAATAGGAGGATAATGGTCCAGGCTACCAAGCAAGAAGCTCTGAGTTCAAATCTCACTGCCAGAAAACAAAGGAGGGAATAAGGATTAGATGATGTCATGGTGGTAGGGCCCCCATGACTGCATTAGTGGCCTTACACAAAGAAGAAGAGACCCCAAGTAAGGAAGTTGATTTTGTTTCTCCATGAATGTCCTGTGCTACCTCAGCAAGAAGGCCCTCAACACATGGAGCCCACTGATCTGGGACTTCCAGCACTGTTGGCTATTTTCCACACAACTGTATTATTGTTTCAGCAACAGAAAATGGACTAAGCTATCCCCTTTTAATAAGTCAGTGTGTTAGTCTACTTTTTGTTACTGAAACAGCTTGTAAAGAGAGGTTCATTTTGGTTCACAGTTTTGTAGGTTTCAGTCCATAGCTTGCTGGGACTCATTACCTTTGGGTCTGGTTTTTTTTTTTTTTTGGTGGTATTGGGATTAAATTAGAACTCAGGGCCTCATGCTTGCTAGGCAGACAGATGCTTTATCAATTGAGCCACTGTGCCAGCCCACATTTTTTTGTTTTTAAATATGGAATGCTTCGTGAATTTGTGTGTCATCCTTGTACAGGGAACAGGATAATCTTCACCGTATTGTTCCAATTTTAGTGTACGTGCTGCCAATGTGAACACTGCAGGAAGCACATAGTGGAGCAAAGCTGCTCACCCCATGGTGACCAGGTCCCAATATCCCCTTTAAGGGAACATCCCCAGTGACCTAAGTTCCTTGTAGTAGGTCACACTTCTAAAAGTTCTGCCACCTCCCAGTCTGCCATGGGCTGGGGACTAAGCCTTTACACATGGGTCTTTGGGTGACATTTGTCCAAACCATAGCAGCCACTTACATTCTGTTTCATAAAACCCAAACACTCATAAATGTCAAGGGAGTGAGTAGCATAGATGGTCAGAACTGGTATACTCTGGTTCGTTAAACCTTCTTTCCAACAGAAACAGCCCTTGTGCTAGTCACATGGAATATAATTTAGGAAAATGCTTAAGTATAATAGAGTCACCAAAATTCTAGCCAAAATGGGTAACAGTGTGCATACTGTGTAAAATTGCTGGTGAACAGCACATAGGGTAGGATCTCAGGCAGATCCCCACTACTGTCCCACAAATACATTCCTCATGAACAGGAAAACCTACACTGGTTAATTAAAGACCTTTTTCAAACAAAGTACAAAAGGCATCTAAACTAGACACAGCATTAAATGTAGTCATTCTCTAACAGCAGGGGCTGCCAGCCTAAATTCAGCAGCTCCTCATATCTACAAAGGAAGTTACCAAAGTTCAGCTTGGACTGCCCTTGGCTGCAGGTGGCAGGCACACAGATGTGGAAGCCCTAGCACAATCTGGAACCGTGGAGCCTTCCTTCCACTTACGTGGGGTATCCCCGCACGCCCTGGGCAGAACACACATCCGAGTTGACCGTGCAGTCCACTTTAGCCACATAGACCTTGGCATCCTCCATGCTGTTGTATTTGTCTCCCAGGTCATTCCAAGTTGGCTGCAGCCGCTGGCAGTGTCCACACCTGTAAAGAGGCAAGGAGAGTAAGCATTCTGAATGCCAGGTCTCAGGGTGTCCAGCCCACCATTTAGCCTGTTTTATCAGGCAAGAGCCTCTCCAGCCTTTCTTTTCTCTGCAGCAGACAATTCACAATTCACAATTCCTCACTCCCCTGCTTAAACCCCTCAACAGAGCCACCACTTTGATCCCAGCATCAAACGGAAATTTAGCAAAGCACTCCTTCAGTTCTTCCTTTTTGACCTCTAGGCCCAAAGCTGCCCTCCTTGTCTTACTGTCTACCTCTGGGCTCTATGTGATATTTGCAGTTTTCTGAGCTTGGCTCAACCCTGAGGTCCAGTTCACAACTTTCTCCCTGTACTTCACCTGGCTAGTTCCTATCTGCCCTTCAGGTGTTGCTTCCTCCAGGAAGTCTGCCCTGACTCCTGGGTTATTTGTACCCATTCTCTTCCCCTCTTCTGGAAATCTCCCTTGCTCTCCCCCTACAGCAGTGCCTTAGTGCTTCTTATTGTAATTGACTTTTATTGTAAAGTCAGGTCTCTACTACATAACCAAATATGCACAAATTAAGTTAGCTCTGCATCTTCCCCAATCAAAAGCCAATAAATAAATATTTTAAAAAGAAGTTTGTAGCCACCCAAACATCATTTGATATAATCAAACACCTATTTACAATATTTGGTTATATTCAGATATTTTAAGTCATCTACCATTTAAGATGATAATTGGGACCATGGCTTTATGCCACTCTTCATGCATCTTGCAGCCTCAGCTGTCTGCAGTGCCATACTTGAATTTTGAATGAGACAACACTGGAAATGTTATCCCATGCTTTAAGTATAATCAAGTAGCATTAGAGTACATGGGTTTTTTTTTTTTTTCATTTACCTACTAAGTTATTCACATCTACAAAGCAACCATTTGGTGCCTTGCTTTTTTAAAATGATTTTTAAAAATCCTTGCTAACAAGAAAACCCAGAACTTAGAATTTTTGGTTCTTCCTCAAAATACTTCCTTGGTAAAATCTGTATTAAGCCTCTGCAGCTTTTCAGAGAGATGACCTCCAAAATAGGCATTTAAGGGAGCAGAGGTCTGCTTTCAGGTACTGTCTTCCCTGAGCATCACTCTCTCAGCCAATTATGACAATCTCTGCTTTACAACAGCCTCACCTCAAAGGCGCTCCTATCAGTATTCTCAGCTACACAGGAGGTGGCAATAGGGAAAACTGGGGTTCAAGGATAGCCTGGGCAAAAAGTTAACAAGGCCCCATCTCAACAAACTGGGAGTGATGATTCCAGCTTGGAAGGTGTGGGTAGGATGCTAGCAATCCTCCTGTCTAGGGTCCCTGGCAAAAAGCACAAGACCTTATGCAAAAAGTAACTAAAATAAAAAAAGGCTGAGGGCATGACTCAAGTGGCAGAGCACCTTCTTATCAAGCTCATGCCCCTGATTTTAAACAAACAAAAATCATCAAATAGGCTGGTAGAGTGGCCCAAGTGGTAGAAGGCCTCGCTAGCAAGTGTGAAGCCCTGAGTTCAAACCCAGCACTGCAAAAAAAAAAAAAAAAAAAAAGTGTCAAATATACTATTTCTTCTTTTCTGGAAGATCACCAGGAGGGTAAATCCAGTGCTATATCTAAGTGTGCACGTGCCAAGAAGGAAAGCACAGACTGTCCTTTCACACCTGTCCTCCCAGCACCTCACTCATCCTTGGTATGTAATAAATGCATGGCAGCTTCTTAGCTGAATGAATGAAAAAAGCACAGTGAAATTGCACCTGTAGATTTAACTTCTGTGGATTCAACAAAGTGAGCTTGGTAAGGTAGTGGGGTTGGGGGGGAGAGGGAGAACAAGAGAAAAAAAAAAGCCAAGTCACACAGAACCCTGACGTGTGCGTGCAATGGGAGGTGTGCAGTTTTTTGTTCCTCAGTTGGCACTGTTTCAGAGTGCTCCTCGTGGCATGAGCTTCTCACCGCAGGAAGTATGACAGAGCTGTCTAAAGACACAATCTGACTAGTTCTTTTGGTGCTTAACCAAAGAAGCCATGATCTGTACTAATGCTGGCGGAACACCTGGCCCTAAGACTTACCCAGCAAAAATGGGGCAGCCTCTGACAGGGCATTGTCCTAAGGAATTTTCAAGGGCAGGTCTGACTCTAGGGAAATTGGAGCAGGTATGCTTGTTTTGGAACTTGACAACTCCTCTGCACTCTCTGGACAAGTTTTCTTGTGAAAACACAAGACTGGGTTAAGAATGAGGATTAAGAAAAGTTTACTACTTGAACGTGGTTATGTGCTCAGTGTAGAGGAATGAATATAGAAATCTTAAACTGGCCAGATCCACCATGGGAAGCGGACTACGGAGGAGTGAAGAGGACTGGAAGAGGTGAATCAATTGGAGCTGTAATACACATATGCATGGGATCAACACAAGGAAATTCCCTGTGTAGCTACCTTTATCACAAACTAGTAAAACGTCATGTTCTTCCTTTTATTATTTATGTTTTTTCTTCTACAAAAATCGGAGAACAGGAGAGCGGAGCAGTTTCTGCCAGGGCGTGGGGAGAGGTGGGGAGGTGGCTGGTGGGGAGGAGTGAGATGTGGGGAGATGGTGGGGAAAGGGGAAAAAAAAGAAAAAGTTCACTAACACTAAATGAAACCTGACCATCCTCCCAGCAGCAGTCATGTGTCCGCAGGTGCCATCTAGCTGTCACATCTGGTTTGAGGCCCTTGTGGCTATAGCATGCACCTCTGAGACAGCCAGCTGCATCCAGAAAGTGGTCTGGGGCCAAGTGATAGAGCAATGACACCTGATCCTAAGCTTGACCTCACTGTCACTAGATTCAGTGTGATTCACAAACTGGCCATAGAAAAGCTGTGATGTGATGTTGACACAAAATTCACAGCCACCAAGTTCAGAAGAAAAATACACAGATGATGTTTTAGTTACATGGTATCCTTGCCCCAGATTGGTGTCCTTGCCCCAGATCGCACGTGGGCTTCCAACATTCCACAGGCACTGAAACTAGATAGAAGCATGGGTAGGGGCACCCAGTGTGTTCTGAGTTCCAAATCACTCAATAGTTTACATTTCAAAGGCCGCCAAAGAAACCCACATATCTCTACTTGGTATTTCTAACAGACTAGTAAGCAAACTAATATGTTTTCTGTGAGCAGTCACCTAAATGGCCACAAGCCACATGTGGTGAAAAAGAGACTGAGTCTTCTCAGTCCAGGACTTGCTGGTATTTACTAAAGATATTCCAAAATTAAAACCCTGTTAGCACTGCAGAGGACAGACATAGTATGTCTACATGTCGATTTTTCTTAAAACAAAACAAAACGGGGTAGGGGAGCTGGCGCAGTGATGCATGCCTGTAATCCCAGCTGCTCTGGAGGCAGGCAAGGGCAAAACCACAAGACTTTATCTGTGGTTTAGTGTGGAAAAACACTAAAACCAAAAAGGACTGGAGGTGGGGCTCAAGTAGGAAGAGTGTAAGCTTGAGGCCTTGAGTTCAAACTCTAGTCCCCCCACTCAAAAAAAATGTACAAAGAGAAAAAGAAAAAAAAACCCAACAGATTTATTCCCTTGAAACTGGCCCCACTTAAGTACAGCCGTGTATTTAACTGGACTTGTTATTCTCAGAATATTTCTGCACAGAGTAACTGTTAACACTGAGTGACTGTATTATGCTCCAAAGTATTTTCTGTATCTTTGGCAGTTCTAAAAATTCAAGTCTGCTGGTTCTTGGAGACTTGAAACACAATATATTCCATACATACATTATTAATGAATAATGGTTATGAGTCAGATTGGCCCCTAAAGGTTGATTTAACCCCAAATAAACTGATATATGGTAATAGCCTGACTGTAAAGTTAAAAGGAAAAAGTTTCTCCCACTTCAAAAGCAAACAGTTTTGAATAAGCCACTTTCCTTGGTAACTTTTCTCTCCTCTCCCCACACCCCTTTCCCTAATGAGCCTCTCCTGAGCTGGGGGGAGGAATACTAAATTCTGCCATCAGCACAGCCAGATCCCACACCTCAAACTGCCTTGTGCCTTAAGATTATGGTTTTCTACTCTGGCCTACGAGAACCTGGCTTCCTCCAGGCAGGAAGGCACAGCATGCTCTGTGTCATAGGATGACTCCCCGGGTATGGCTCTCGGGTTAGCAGCAGGCCACCTCCAAACACACTCAGGTATGGGTTTTTACAACGCTCTTTCCAAATAACCCAGGCTCCAGAAGTAGAAAGGAGGAGGGCAAGACACAGCGTGGGGTTGTGGGCAACCTAGGGCACAGCTCATATCACGCCAAGCAGCAGCGGGCCCCCAGAATTCACACTACTCCTGGCTTCCGAGGTGACACAGGAGCCTCTAACTAGTTACCCCTTTCCACCCACGAAACACGAGCCAAGTGGGAAATCACACCGTGGTGGGTTATTTTTCAGTTAAACCCTTACTAAAGTGATTTGCCCGCTGTCCCCAAGTCAAGCCGTTGGCCAGCGAGGCCAGCGGGAAGGACCCTCCTGGCAAGGGCACGTGGACCCCAGGTCCCGCTGCGTCCGGCCTGCACAGGAAGTTTGGGGCGCAAGGCAGAGGACTGGCGGGGTGACGTCGGGGATCCGGCAGCCCTGAAGTGTGACGTCCCCGTCCTCAGTCCCCTGGCCCTACCCTCCGGTCTGGGGTGGGAGGCGGAGAATCGGGGGTGGGACGGTCTTTTCCCGGCTGTCCCCTAGGGGACCGCCCCCTCCTCGGGGACCGCCCCCTCCTCCCGCACCGCCCCGGCCGCCGAGCGCCACGTCAGCTGCCAGCGCCGGCCCCGAAGCGCCCACGCCCCCCGTCCCCGGCCCCAAGCCCGCGTGCCCCACGCCGCTGGCCCGCCCGCCCGCGGCCGTGTCCACCCCGCGACCCTCCCGGCCCCGAGCCTGAACCCGCAGTGCCCGCGCCGCCCGGCCCGGCGCAGAGTGCGGGGCTCGGCCGGCCTGCGTGGCGGGGGCCAGTTACCAAGGCGCGAAGAACATGATGAAGTGCGGGGCGCTCTGGATCCCGTGCGCGAACATGTCGGCCGTGTACAGGTGCTTGGCGTGCGGGTCCTGCCGGTCTCCGCTGCCGGCCGCGGGGGAGCCATCCGCTGCCGGTTCCTGGGCCCGGGCGCCCCAGCGCCCGCCGCCGCCGCCATTGCCGAGCAGCAGTAGTAGCGTGGTGAAGGCCGGCAGCCGGGCCAGCAGCGGGAGGAGGCGTCTTGGGCGCGGGGGCATCGCGGCGGGGCTGGGCGCGTTCTCGCCACGGCCGCGGGTCCCCTCACCGGTGCCGCCTCCGGCCGCCAGCCCCGCCCTCGGCCCCTCCCCAAAGAGGCCGCGCCCCTCCCTCGCCCCGCCCCTCCCTCCCACTCCCCGCGCGCGCCCGGCCCTGCCCAGGTCGTGTCGCGCGCACCGAGCGCTCTGCGGGGAGAGGAAAGAGCGAGGGTGTCCCACTCCGAGAAGCTTCAGTGAATGGCTCCCGCGGCCCGGGGACCGTCCCAGCCAATCCCGCCTCAAACCGTGCTTACAGCAACTGAACCTTGATGAAGGAACAACGAAGAGGCCAGGCAGAGAAGCCACGGGGAACAATGTCAGCCTCAGTTGATCTAGGCCCAGACAAAGACCCCTGGATTTCAGGGAAACAACCTGCTGTCAGCAGAATGTAGGAAGTTGGGCAAAAGTGGTAGGGTTTGCTCCTAAATGACTCAGATTCTTGGCCAGACCTGAAATGCAATTTTTGTGCCTGGGCTGGGGATTGGGGGGCGGGGTGATAAAGCCCTTCCCAAGTGAGCTTCTTGCCTTAACTCAGGATGAAAAGAAAAGGGGGCCAAAAGCAGCCTTTTTCTCTAGACAAAGAAAGGCTCCTCCTTGCAGCGTTGTCTGGTGTCCTGTTCTGCCTTAACTCATTCTGGTAACAAAAATGAATGACAACAGCTCCGCTCGGACTGAACCAGCCCTGGGGATGGCTGGGGTGCCTTATAACTCACACCTGCATACATACCTTTTGGGACTCTGAAGCTAAATTAGGAAGAATTACTTGGTCCTTGATTGTCCTCAGTCCAGAAAACCCGAGGCAGTTTAACAATAGGGGTTAGTATCCTCTTCCAGCCTTAGGTTCAGCCACTTGTGAACTTTTAACCATCCTTTGCCAAACACCAAATGCATTCATTTTCCCTTAATACCTATTCTATCAACCACGTACCCTTGAAGTATGGGAGGCACCTCTTATTTGCTCCCTCATTTCCCTTGTGTCCCAAAAATCAAAGCAAGCACATTTTTGGCAACCATCATTTCTTTCTACCATTCTCAGTGTTCCTTCCCTGAATAAATCCTAAACACCTTATCACAGTAGCTTTCTAAGAGTCTCTGTTCACATGGCTCGAAAATTAATTTTTCTCAAGCCTGCCTTTGACTACAACACTTTGCTGTTCAAACTTGAACCAACACACCACCATTAGCCCCATGTTTGGGTAAAATACAAATTCCTTGGTCTGCCCTTCAGGGCCTTCTATGACATGGTTCCAGTGTCTGTGAAACTTACTCGTGGCTAGAAATCCAAGGCTTCTCTTCAATAACCTGCAATGGCCAGATTTGAATCCTTACGCTTCCCAATACCTCATACTCCCCAAACCCTTCCACTGTGTTATTGGGAAATTCCAACAAAGGATCACCATACACTCTTCTTGCAGCATCAACTTCTCTCATCTAAGTAGAACATCTCTGGCAGCTCCTTCAAGGTCTTTCAGGTGTGAAAGAATAAGGAAGAAAGGAAAGTGCCTTCCTTGTTTCCCACTGATCCTAAAACATTTCCTCCTACCGTAAAACCCTCAGTTCCCATAAACTCAATGCCATTAAATATGGCACCCTCTGTCCTCCCAGCTTTTGTCATTCTTCCAGGACATTCTCTTCATTCACTAAATATTAGTTCCTGGCCACTTCTTTCCTGTCTTCAATTCTGTTGTCTTCAGCATGGTCTACCTATCTGTTCTTCAGTAATTCCCTCCTAAAGGGACCCCTAGCACTTTCATCACCAGAATATGCACCATTTCTATAATCTGAGAAGAGGTGCTAAAGTTTGCATCTTTTTCTTTTGGTGGTACTAGAGTTTGAACTCAGGGCCTCATGCTTGCTAGGCAGGCACTCTACCCCTTGAGCTATTTTGGCAGCTCTTATGGTTTGCATCTTGACTGTCCCCCAAGGGCCCATGTATTGGAGGTTTGGGCCTAGGATGGTGCTATTGGGAGGTGGTGAAACTTTAAAAGGTGGGGCCTAGTGGGAGTTCTTTCGGAGTTCTTTCGGTCATTAGGTACGTGCCCATCAAGGGGATTGTGGGGTCCCTCCCCTTCCTCTCAGTTTTGTTTGCTGGCTCCTATTGAGATGAGCCAGTATTGCTCCATCCCACACTCCTGCCACTATGTGCTACCCCACCACAGTACTAAATGCAATGGGGCCAACTGATCATAGACTGGAGCCTCCAAAACTTTGAGCCTAAATCAACCTTTCTAAGTTGATAATCTAAGGTCTTTTGTTACTATGACAGAAAGCTGACAATACCAAGGCATCCTACTCTGCTTAGCCCTACTAGACATGCAGCTCACTCCTATAATGGATTCCCTCATTATGACATGTGCACTACTGAGTGCTGCCATCTTCTCAGCCCACCACATCTTCCTTGCCTCTTGATCAAATTACATTTCCAGAGTTCACATCCTTACTGCCTTGCCATGCCCTCCTTAGAGACACTGGTGCGCTCCATCTCTCTTGCTTTTCCTGTGCCTTTACCACGTATCCAAACTCAGCTGAAGAAAAGTTGCACAATCAAGCAGCACTTTCCTTTCACTTCTGTGAAGAGAAGACTTAAGTCACTACTGGCCCCTGCCCTGAAATTGACTGCATTTCCCCTTGGCAGGTGATGTCCCTCTTTCTGGATGCTTCCATGCTTCCAGTTCCCCTCTACTCCCATCCCCATCCCTCTTCAGTTGCCATCCCTTACCTCATACCTCTCTGAGAAGAATGAAGTCCAAAGCATGCTCTCCCTCATCGATTTACTGCCATTTCTATATAGCCCTGAAAAAGCACCTTCAGCCTCTCCCCTCTTGTTACAAAAGAGGAAGTAAGTACCCCTATCTAGCAAAGTCGTCCTCCAGAGCAATGCCTCCCACAGACAGCCAGAACCTGATTCCAGAACTTTTTATGGTTACTTTAGATGGCAAAAGAGACTTGGAAATGTGATTAAATTAAATATCTTGAGATAGGGAGTTACTCTAGATTATCTGGGTGAGTCCTAATATGATCACAGGTGTCCTTATAAGAGAGGGGGGGATATTTGACAACAGAGGAGAGGCCAGGTAATAAATGAGAGAATGAAATTGCTACACTGCTGCTTGGAAGATGAGAGAAGAGGCCATTAGCCAGGTGTGCAGTTCCAGAAGGTAGAAAAGACAAGGAAATGGATCCTCTTCTAGAGCTTCTGCAGGGACCTTTAGAGAGAACGATTGGTATAAAGTCGTGGTTAAGAGCTGCAGATTTCTAAGCATTGACCATAATATAGTTCTGGTAGTATTGATGTTAAAGTAGCTTGGTCAAGATATCCTGGAATAACATCAGTTTTTAGAGATTGTACAGCTCATGAATGGAGCACATCGTCAGATGAAATTAGCATACAATAGGTATTTCTATTGATAAAACTATTAAAATTGTGGACTTAAAGTAGTCATAGTTCTCCAGGTTTAAGGTCTGATATAGGAATTATGCAAGAGTCAAAGGTTATACCTTTATAATCTACAGATTATTATAATTTGTAAATTTGGTATCATTGGTAACCTATAGTTTTTATAGGTAATGAAGGGTTATTGATTTCATCTATTATATACAAGACACACAGAAATGGGAGAGTGATTAGGATTGAAATAATAACTGGTAAAATTGTTCACACTGTCTCTAGTTCTTGAACATCCATAGTGTTTGTAGTGTGGGTGAGCTTGGTAGTAAGTAGTAGTGAGATGATCCAAGGGACTAGGGAGCTAACTAAAAGACATTTACTAAAGTATGATCATGGAACTTTTAAGTAATTCTTCTATGATAGAGGATGTAGCATCTTGGATTCCAAATTGAAATGGATATGTCATGTAAATGTATGTTTAACCTGTCAGTTAACTTTGACAAAGTTATAATGGTTTTACTAGTATCTTATTAATTGAGAAAGTCATAGTGTTTATAGGACTGGTTCGAAACTACATTTTGGGGTTCAATTCATCTATCTTAGTGGACATTCACGTGAGTAAGTTCTTCAAATGTGTGGTAAGATGGAGAACATCCAGGAAGTCATTCTAGATTTGTGGTTGTCAGTTCAAATAAATCAACTTCTTGTTTTGAAATAAAAGCTCTCAAATCATGAAAATGATTACTACAACAGCTAGTAAAGAGACAAGTGATTCTATAGATGACACCGTATTTCATGCAGTATAGGAATCTGGGTAATGAGAGTATCATCATGGTATGCTTGATAATCCAAGACTTCAGTCCAACATGACTTTAGCCCAGTGAAACTGATTTTGGACTTCTGACTTTTAGAACATCAGGAAGCTCTGTGAAGGTCACAGGGCTACGACATGTTCCCTATTCTCTCTCTAGAACTCAAGTGACTGGCCCACAGCAGATGTTAGGTGAAAGAACCTATCTTTCTAACCATATTTTTTTCCCAGGCTCCACTAAAAGGAATTGACTCTTTCCCAAACATACTTTAATTGTTCCTTTTGGCTGGGACAACCTTGCATGTTCCTGGGGCCAATCACAATGTCGTCTTTAGGACCCACCCAGCCCCCTCTCCCCAGCCACTCAGCATCACAGGGCTGTGCTCTCCTCTTCTTCTAAACTCTCAGCCTCATATGGTATGGACATGCCACTTCATATGGTAGCAGCTACAAGTGGCACTGCTCAGATACCCACCTCTCAGTATCCTGGCTCCCTGCTCAAAACTGCCTAAAAATGGAGAAACAATGTAATTTTTACAGCAGTGAAGTAAATAAATACAGCTTTCTCAGGAAAGGCTTCTCTACACTATGCGTTCATCCACACCCTTTCACAGAACAGAAATTTTTGTCATGTCATTTCTTTTTAGTGTCAGACGTCCCCCAGCCTGTAAGCTCCATGGGATGAGAGGTGTGAATATGATGGCTGTGTATCTAGTGCATGTTTATAGAATGAATTCATGAAAACTCACATTTGTCTACCCTCAGAGCGTAGCTTTCTTGAGAGAGGCCCCTCAAACTCATAGCTTTGTACCAAGAGAATAAGGCAGTAGGTTTA